ATATTTAAAAATATTTTATTTATTAGAGAGTGAGTGAGAGATTGAGAGAGTGAGTGGGAGGAGGGGCGGAAGGAGAAGCAACCCCAGGCCCCCCTGCTGAGCAGGGAACCTGGTAAGGGACTGGATCCCAGGACCTTGGGATCATGACCTGAGCTGAAGGCAGACATTTAATGGACTGAGCCACCCAGGCACCCCTAGGGACTATGATTAATAAAAAAGCCTTTCCATGCCTTCTTTTCTTTCACCTTATTTTTAAGGCTGTTACCACAGAAAAAATGAATGAGGTTAGAAGAGAGTTTTGGTTTTATCAGAATCCCACTTTATAGGTGACCATTTTTAACAAAATTTTATGAGAAGGCATTAAAGAGTTTGAAAGTTGTGATTTCAAAGAAATTATAAAATACATAAAAAGTGGTAGCCAATCAGGAGGGCTTAGAAGCTCTTCCACTTTAAACATTTTATCATCAATTTTCTTTTACCTGTTCATTCAATTTTCCTTTAATGGTGTCATTTATTTAGCCCATATAGACCTTACCATTAAGTTAGAATGAGTGTATGAGAGCTTCTCAGTTCAGAACCTCAGTGTCTCTTGATCTTAGTTGTTCCATCAGTTGTTTAAATGGGAGCTGTATGTGGAAATGTTTTAAAATATAAAGTGTTTGTAAATTAATGTCAGCATTTGATTATTCTTCTTTTTCATTTTTATCATTTGCTCAGCCTTTAGACTCTTTTTATTTTATCACTGAATAGTTTTCATTAATCTTTATTTTGTAGTTTACTGAATTTAAATATTCTTGGAGTGTGATAAAAACGAGAATCATTTTGATCACATCTTCACTCTTAATTCTTCTTTTTGATAATTTATTAAAATTTAATACATTGCTAAAGATGCCTTTATTAAAATTAATAAGGTAGTTTTGCCTTATGATATTTCTATTTTAATAATAAAATTGAGTTATGCAATGATTAAGGCTAACTTCTTCCGAAGTTTCACGACTAGCAAAGAATACTGATTACAATTCCTGTACCCATATGGTTCTCTTACCCCTTTGCTTTTTCTTCTTGACTGATGAGAGTTTTTTGTATTGCCTGTCCCTTCTCTCTCCTCCATTGCACCAGAAGACATGGGAATAGAATGGTCTCAGGTATACTTTGTATACTTAGTTACACTTAGTGGCAAAGTGGGCTTTGGGTACACATCTTAATGTTGAGCTGTTTTTTCAAGATCAGTCTTTGTCATCCATGGTATCGTATTTCATTTATCTTTGCCAAATGACATGTTTCTCTGTAATGTAATCAAAGCATACTCAGTTGTGTGATTGGTCAGTCTAGTTATTACAACTCCTAATGTGCAGTTTTGTGTTTTGTGGGGTTTTTTTCCTAAAATCAATAAATTTTAGGATTTTTGATGGGTAGAATTTCAGAAGAGCAAAAGAATGGCTTGCAAAAGGTATTTTTAGATAACATGGATTCTGAACCATTTTATTCTTCCAGAGAAGACCTGAAAGTGAGAAATTAGTGAAGACTGAACATGTTACTCCCCTACCACTAAAAATTCCATGCTGCATTATGTGAAATACTTTTGAGTAGAAGCCAGCCACAGATGTTTTAAAACACTCAGGCAGTTAATTCTGTGAATTTAGCATTACTGTGATCTGATATTAACAATCCTACCTCTTAAAATTGTCATAATTTCCATCTGTTTGCTGTTTCTCAATTTACTTATTTTAAATTTTAAATTCCTAACCTCCTCTTCTTTACTTCATTTCTTTTATACCCAGATGTATCCCATCTTTAAATATTTAAAGTATTTTTCAAAATAATTTTGAAATTTAAGACCTATCACATATATTTGAATATAATGAATATAAAAGACATATCACACATATTGCACACGCACGTGCGCACACACACACACATCCCTCTATGAATTAGAATCTTCTCTGTAGAAGTGATAACTTCCAAGGTCTTAGAGTAAGATCCCATTAATGATTTTGAAAATTGGGAATAATGCGATTTGTGTTTAAAAGGGCTGGGTCAGGGACGCCTGGGTGGCTCAGTTGGTTAAGCGGCTGCCTTCGGCTCAGGTCATGATCCCAGCGTCCTGGGATCGAGTCCCACATCGGGCTCCTTGCTTGGCGGGGAGCCTGCTTCTCCCTCTGCCTCTACCTGCCACTCTGTCTGCCTGTGCTCGCTCTTGCTTCTCTCTCTATGTCAAATAAATAAATAAAATATTAAAAAAAGGGCTGGGTCACCAGTTAGGAGGAGACTATTGTGATAATCCAAGTGTGGGCATTTTGGATTCAAGTGGTGACAGAAGAGATGGTGAGAAAGGACAAATTTGGCATATATTTTGAAGAAGAAGTGAGAGGAGTTGGTAATAGATAAAATGGGGAGGAAAGGAGAGGGGCTGGGAAGAAGAAACTGGTTACATAGTTTTACCATCTTTGGTGGTGGTGATGACTAAAGGAGGAAGTGTTTAGTGTTGGGGGTATGAAATTAAGCTTTGTGTTGGGCATTTTGAATTTGAGATACCTAAGCAAATATGTCCAATAGGCAATTGAATAAATGGCTGTGGAGATAAAGTAAGGTTAAGGTGGAATCATTAGCATATATTAATATTTTTTAAAATCACAGACCTTGCTAAGATCATTAGATTAACAGTAGAGATGGAGTAGATGGTCCATGACCAGTTCTATGGCTTCCAGCAATGAAAGGTGTGGTGAATGGGGAGTCAAAGAGCATCCAGTGGCAATTATATACAATACATAGAGACTGCTTTAATAGAAATTGTACATGCTCAAGATAATATTGCTCTTTGGACTTCTTAAAATGGAGAACTAATTGACATTTAGCATTTATTAGTTTCAGGTGCAACATGATTTGGTGTATGTAGATATGTGAGATGATCACCACAGTAAGTGTAGTTGACATCCATGAACACACAAATAAATTTTCTTTTTTCTTGTGATAACAACTTTTAAGATATAATCTCTTAGCAACTTTCAAATATGTAATAGAGTATTGTTAACTACAGTCGGTATGATGTATATGACATTCACAGAACTTATAACTAGAAGTTTGTACCTTGACCATCTTCACTTCTTCACCCATTTTGACAACTCTCCCATCCCTGTCTCTGGCAACCACCCATCTCTTTTCTTTATTTAGGAGTTCAGGGTTTATGTTTTTTAAGATCCCACCTACAAGTGAGATACAGTGTTTGTCTTTCTTCAGGTGGCTTATTTCACTTAATGTCTTGTCCTCAAGGTTCATCCACATTGTTGTAAATAGCAAGATTTCCTTCTTTTTTTGGTGTAGACAAATAACATTCTATCAAAAATGTATAGCACATATTCTTTATCCTTCATCCGTTGTGGACTCCTAGGTTGTTACTGTGTCTTGGCTATTATAAATAAGAAATGCTGTAATAAATGTAGGGGTACAGATACTTTTTGAGATAGTGACTTTGTTTATTTTCAGATAAATACCAGAAGTGGAACTGCTGGATCATAGGGTCGTTCTATTTTTGAGGCAACTCCACACTGTTTTCCACAGTAGCTGCACCAATTTACCTTCCCACCAACAGTGCATGAGGTTTCCCTTTTCTCCACATCCCCGCCAACACTTGTTATTTCTTATCTTTTTTGATTCTAGGTGTACTAATAAGTGTGAGCGGATACCTCAGTGTGGTTTGGGTTTGCCTTTCCCTGATGATCAGTGATGCTAAGCACCTTTTCATGTACCTGTTTTTGTGTCTTCCCTGGAAAAATGGCTCTTCAGATCCTATGTCCCACTTTTGATCAAATTATTATTTTTTCTTTTGAGTTGTATGAGTTTTTTAAATTGTATTTTGGGTTATTAATCCCTTACCAAACATTTAATTTGCAAATCTCATTCAGCAGATTGCCTTTTCATTGTGTTGATAATTTCCTTTGCTGTATGGAATTTTTTTATTAGTTTGATAAGAGCCCCATTTATGTATTTGTGCTTTTGTTGCCGTCTGTGTTTTTTTTTTTTTAAACTAAATATTTCGCATATCCTTGAGGTTCCAAGCACCACTTTGAGTGTTACTAATGTATAATTCTATACAATGTCAATTTGTACAGTCAGAGATCACATTACCAAGGAATCATTAAAGTTAGGATATAGTATCCATCCCTCCCCCTTCCACTTGCCTCTTTAGGACTTAGATTGTTTGAGTTCACTCAGGCTGAAAGAGTTTGCCAGAAAATTCTCATTAACAGGAATGCCCTTGGCCTTCCTCTCATAATTTTTTGTCTCTCTCTTAAAATAAGTAAGCACATTATCAAAGTCATTTTATTTTTAAAAAGTTGTCATCAGCGTGGAAAATTTGGGATTCACGAGGAGTGTTATTAAATGTTCAATGTCACTGATGTCACTGACAGCATGGGGTAGCAGATGAAAGCCTGGTTGATAAATTCTGCAAGAATATTCGAGACAATGAAATATGGACTAGCATAGACATAGCTAAATGCCGTTACTTTGAGCCAAGCAGAATCCTGTCATACTCTGTATTTTGGGGCATGCCTGATTTTGTTTTCCCTAGAAGCTAAACCATGAAGTGAAAGAAGATGGTTATTAGATGTCTTTTCTATCTTGTGCAGAGTGCTAAGTACTTTTATACTGTGGTCTCAGTTTAACTTGACACCAGTTCTGAGGGGGAAATACATTCAGCCCATTTTACAGAGGTTAAGAGATTGAAGCTTCTTTTCCTTGCTCTTTTAGAACAGGAAGAAAAAAATGCTCATCAAAAGTTATATACAAAGTAGGTTTCCAGAGTCAATGGTTTTTGTTTTTGTTTTTAGGTTTTCCCTAAACATGTTTAAAAGGAGATAGAAATAAAGCCATGTATTTAAGACCTTTGTGGTTTTAACTGTTCCCTTCAAAAAGTGTCTTTTATCTCTAAATGTTAAGTGAAGTGTTCCCAGGCTGTATTGATGATGATCTTAATTTTTTCCCTTCTCTTTTGGTTTCAGAGGAAGAACTTGTCTCTTTTCCTCAGCATTAGTTTGTTAACTTTCTGGGGGACTTCCCTTTTGGGTGCCCGTTTGTACTGGATGGGAAACAAACCACCAAGCTTTTCCAACTCTGACAACCCAGCTGCAGATTCGGATAGCCTGTTGGCTCGAACGCTCACTTTCTTCTACTTGCCAACCAAGAACCTGTGGCTGTTGCTATGCCCAGACACACTCAGTTTTGATTGGTCAATGGATGCTGTGCCTCTGCTCAAAACGGTTTGTGATTGGAGAAACCTACACACTGTGGCCTTCTATATTGGACTCCTCCTCCTTGCCTACTATGGCTTGAAGAGCCCAAGCGTGGAAAGAGAATGCAATGGGAAATTTGTAACAAATGGCAAGCAGAATGCAAATGGACATAGCTGCCATTCAGATGTGGAGTACCGGAACTCAGAGATTAAGCCCAGCTTTGCATCCAAAGTAGAAAATGGCATTAAAAATCATGCATCACAGAGAACACAACTTCCTTCTACGGAGAACATTGTTGTTCTTTCTTTATCTTTGCTAATAATACCCTTTGTTCCTGCCACGAACCTGTTTTTCTATGTCGGCTTTGTAATTGCAGAGCGAGTATTGTATATTCCTAGTATGGGCTTCTGCCTCCTCATTACAGTGGGTGCCAGAGCCCTTTATGTCAAGGTCCAAAAGCGGTTTCTCAAGAGCTTGATTTTTTATGCCACAGCTACGTTAATTGTTTTCTATGGACTCAAGACTGCGATCAGGAATGGAGACTGGCAGAATGAGGAAATGCTGTATAGGTCAGGGATAAAAGTTAACCCAGCTAAAGGTAATATTTTATTTTATACTTTTGCCTGGACAGTTTACTCATTGTGCCATTTTAGATCCTTGCTTCTTGCCTTAAAACGCAGTATACAGGAGGAAGACGTCTTTTTCTGCACTCCCCGTATCTTTCTTTCATTTCATTTTTTAAAAGCTGAGCAGTACAACCAATTTAGAGATGTGCCCAGAATTCCGTATTTGGAACGGGGCAGTATATTCTCATGTTCCAGACTACATTTGTCCAGAGGAATTTAGACAGTTGTGCAAAAGCATTGACTGTCCTAAGAATTTAGAAAAATGCTTGGTTTCTGTCTTTTAAGTATGGACACACACGTTATCTCTTTCATCATGTAATAAAAGTCAGGCTATCCCACTTGATATTTTAGCTTTGCTGTTTTCCAAGTATCGCCTGAGGAAATACCGTAAGACTTACTCTGACATCTTTAAAAAGATTTGGAGGTGACGCTACCTCTGAATCTTGGAATCGTGTCTCTAGGTGTCAGTGTGCGCGCATACAAGTGTGAGTCACCCTCTGCTTTGCAGAACCCCGGTAAGCTGGATGTTACCCAGCCGTTAGCACTTCTTATGTAAGAGTTCTTAAGTCACGTAGGGAAATGCACTTCACTGTACAGTGAGATTGATCATGTATTTCATTACTGGTTTTGATTTAGAAAACTACTTTAGCAAATCACAGAATCTATAGCCAGAACTGAAAGTCTTCCTTAAAGCTTAAATGAACAGGCAGAAGCTGTTAAGGTGATTTCTCTGGTTTAGACAGTAAAATGATAAAAGCCAGGGAGCAATTAAGTGAAAGCAAGTGCACCTTTTAAGTGCAGAAATATATCATAGTAAATAGTGCCAGCTAGTCCTGTTCTTCATAAGCCTTTTCTTTTTCTTTTTTAAATTATTTATCTTTTTACATTGTGGTTGCTCGCACAGCATTTGAACTGGGCTGCTTCTACTTTTTCCAACACAACTGTGCACTGGTATTCAAATATGGGAAGTGTAAAAACGGTTCCAAATGAATGGAGTGACCTGCTGATGGATATTGGGGTTTATGTATGAAGATCTAGATACCCTAAAAGCAACTCTGGTATCTTTCTTCAGTTACCAATTAAGACTTCAGCGAGCAGCTACTTATTTCTTCAAGCTAAGGAACTGATGGTTGGTACTTGTAACGCTGAATAGATTTCAGGGATTTTAATGGGAGTAGAAACATTAAAATTGAGCTAATGCATAGCAAGAATTCCTCAGTTCTTGTAGAAAAGATCTTTATCATGTGGCTTTTGTAGGTAGTGACTGATCCACAGGTTAGTGAATTCATGAACCCCAATCTTGCTGTAAAAATGTTGCAATCAGTTCTCACAGAATGCCTTTCAGCTGGTTTTTCTTCACTGGTAGATGAAAGTATGTAAAGCAAGGCTATGTTGCTAGTTTATTTTCTTGCTATTTAAAACAGAGACATTGTAAAGAATTTAAAGGAAAAAAAAATCCAGCATGTTAATTTCCTCACAAGGTGGTTCTGAGCATTTATTTAATTTATTGGTGAAGTTTCAGGTTAAGCTACTATAACAAAGCCCCCCCCCCGCCCCCCCATAATAGTGACTTAAATAAGATAGAAGCTTTATTCTTTCATGTAACAATCTAAGTATGTGTGGCCCAGAACTGATAAGATGGCGCCATGGGTTTTCAGGATCTGGCTCCTTTTCTTTTGTTCCCTTGCCATCTTGGTAGTGTCACCCTGTCCATATGGTCTGAGATGGCTTATTATCACATCAGCACTTCAGCTCACAGGAAAAGAGAAAAAGAGCAAATGGTGGGTGTACCCATTCTCTTTAAGAGCATATCACGGAAATTGCACACACCATGTTTGCTCACAGACTCTTGGCCACACCTAGCTGCAAAGAAGGCTGGGAAATTTTATCTTAATTCTGAGAAGCCAAGTACTCAGCCAAATTTTATTCCTCTTGAAAAAAAGGGCAGATACTCAGATGCTAGAATATAAGTAGCAGAATCTGTCCCCATAGAGATAAGAAAGCATTTTGTAAACTCCTAGATATTGTCTAGATACGTTTTTAGATATACTTGGCTATGATACTTTTAGCAGTTATTATTCTGACTTTAATTCCGTTATTTTGCTGACATAGCTAAAATGCTTGATTCTTTCTTCATCCTTCCACTCAGTAAAACAATTATTAAGCATTTCTTTGGTTTCCGATATATTTTCATGTCTCCTTCCTAATACTTAAGGAGTGCTATAGTATTAAGATGCTGCAAGTATTACTAGTTAAATGAATATATGACTGACTAATACTGTTAAGTCCCCGAACCATCAAAAATTAAATTCCTTAATGCTGCCCTGCCCCCTCAACCCCACCAGCACCACCTGCACCCCTCCTGTATTTACAGCCTCTATTTCAGTTGGCAACTCCATTCTCCTAGCAGCTCTGACCGTTACTTTGGAGTCATCAACCTTTCATTTTTCTTTAACACCTGGCATCCACTTCATCAGCAAGGCCCCTTGACTCAGTCTTCAAAAATATGTCCAGAACTTGACCACTCTTTACCACCTCTAGTGCTACCACTAGGACCCATGGCACAGTCATCTTTTATGGGAGTATTCCTAAAAGCCTCTCAGTTGGCTTCCCTGCTTCTGTTTTTTCTTGCCTGTTAAGAGAAGGCATGCAGTAATAAATACATTGAAAAATAAATGTTGGGGCGCCTGGGTGGCTCAGTGGGTTAAAACCTCTGCCTTCAGCTCGGGTCATGATCTCAGGGTCCTGGGATCGAGCCCTGCATTGGGCTCTCTGCTCACCGGGGAGCCTGCTTCCTCCTCTCCCTCTCTCGGCCTGCCTCTCTGCCTACTTGTGAGCTCTGTCTGTCAAATGAATAAATAACATCTTAAAAAAAAAAAAAAGAAAAATAAATGTCAAAGTCACAGTCTTTGTAAAGAGCTTGTAATCAGTTTAGAGATAAGATGTATACGCAATGAAGAGGATGAGAGGGTAAAATATTAAGCTGTTGATATATCAGGAGCTGAGAGATACTTCATATTAAGAGGGATAGAATTGGAGATGGGGGTAGTTTTGGATCCCATGGCTGCCTTCTGTGCACGTACTTCCATTCTGATACGAGGCACAATTCTTAACATCTATGTTCCTTATTTTTTCTATTGGTAACATGTTAATAATAATTCTGACTATGGTTACTTCCTTAGCAATTATGAGACTGGTAGTAATCTTCCTTAAGGTAAATTTTTCTTAGTCTGCTATGTTATTTGAGTCTAGCAAAAGATTAGAAACCCTTTAAAGCCAGTTCTTTGTAAGGTTGTCTGAGATTACAGTTATTTCATTGAGTTAGGTTTTTTTTTTTTTGTTTTTTTTTGTTTTTTTTTTCTCCCCTCCTTTGAAAGCCTCTGCAAATTCGGGAGTACTTCAGTCTACCATGTGCTTTACCGGAATATGATTTTAAGCCTCATGAAGCATTATACATTAAAGCTGCTGCCTTCAGTAATGGGTCCTGTAGACAGCTGCCAGTCATTAACTGATTGGATGCAAATGATGATGGGTAAAGCCTGTCATAGTGACTGTGCTGCTAATTTATGGTTTAAATCTGGATAGTGGAGAAATGATAGCTGATTTGGACTATGTAAACCACGAGTCCTATCTCATTATGTGGTTGATAATGTCAGGAAAATACTAGACAAAGTTGATTACTGTAGTTTGCTGATTTCACAATGACTCTTTGCATTTTTGTGCTTAGGAAAGAGGAAATTTTCTCTGATGACTGCTTTAATGAGCAAGCCACATAATATTTGAAAGTGTATGTGTGTGTGTTTAAAACAACGTATTTTGTGAACCGTATTGATTAGTATCTGCTTGGGAAAAAAAAAAACACTTTTTAATTCATTAGAAGTGGTTAAATGTATGATCACCCTTCTGGCCTCTGGCTTTCTCTAAATCCCCATATCTTTGGTTCCCTGTAGAACTGAGCACCATTGATCTCTGCTACTCTGGCTTTCAAAGCACCTCACAATTTTCATTATCTTTCATTTTCCATAGGTCTCTCTTCTACAGGTTTGCCTTCTTCCTAAATTGATTCATTCTTCAAGGTTCTGTCCAAAGATTGCCTTTACTTTCCTTTTTTCTTTTTTAAGACTTTATTTATTTATTTGACAGACAGAGATCACAAGTAGGCAGAGAGGCAGGCAGAGAGAGAGGAGGGGAAGCAGGCTCCCTGCCAGAGAGCCTGATGCGGGGCTCAATCCCAGGACCCTGGGATCATGACCTGAGCCAAAGGCAGAGGCTTTAACCCACTGAGCTACCCAGGCGCCCCTTTATTTTCCTTTCTGTTAAGATTCTAAAACACTTCCTGGTATAGAGTGGGGGTGTGTGTGTGTCAGTAAACATGCCATTGAATTTCTAAGTTATTTTCCCCCGTGACCTCATACCTATGTGGAACTTCTCCACCTAGATGATTTGCCAGTATCTCAAACTCATCACCATCTTCCCTAAAACCAACTACTTGACAACTTTCTTATGAATTAAGGTCATAAGCACAGACTAGCAAACTGATTATAGAGAAACAGATCAGTGAGCACATAAACATAAAAAAAGAATGATAGCCTATAGGTGGCATATCTGGTATGCTGGAAGATAATTTAAAATTTTTAAAGTTACGGATTCAAAATCAAAGCATTTTTTAGAGTAGCTGATTTATTAAATATCATTTTGCTTTAAGAACATATGACTGTGATTTTTAATTAAGCAGGGTTAATCTAAGGAAAACTTATTAAACAACAAAGTTTATTTTAATGCCTGTTTCTAATGTAAATATGTGAAATGATACAAAAGATGTATATTTAATGATGCACATATTTGAAACTCTAAAGGGGATTGCCCAAGCATTCTGTGTTCATTCCCTCCTTCTGCAAATGACAATTATGGCCCATTTTGATACAAAGAACAGAGAAAGTAGTTGTTGCAGCCATGCAAGGCTTGGCAATTT